ACATTGAATCAATATTAGAAATCAAAAGCTAAGTGAGATTAAAGTAGGAAGAGTCACATCGTCTAACCCATTTTAATTGAAGTAAACAGGTGCTTACTTTATCGTGAACACCCGTTTTTCAAACAGCGAATGAAAAGAAAAAAAGAGCCCACCAGAGCTCGAGCGGTAAAGTCGCTGAGCACTAATAGTTCGGTCCGGGGTTCAATTCCCGGCTAACGGCTAGCTGCACGGGCGTTTTCATTGTTATTCCCGTGTGTAACTTGCATATGAGTCAGTTCCCTTTAAAAAATCCTACACGAAGGCCTCCCTCCCCGTAGGCAATAGCCGTAGTGTGCTTTGCTGTAACCGAATAAACCGAAACCGGAAAAAAAAAAAAAAAAAAAAAAAAGGAATTGGTGATGGAAGGCAGCTACGAAACGTCGTTTTAGAAGAATGGGCTACATAACCAAATTTCTATCTATACTCTGGTAAACAGTATATTATTTGCTCATCAAAAGCCTAAATTTAGCTTATGCTCGGCTTAGTTCTTAAATTGCAATTTTAGCCACAGCCCCCAAACAAGACGATGTTTGGTATTTTATTTCATTACTTAGTTATTCATTAATTAAATTTTCATTTGTCTTTAAATTTTTATTGAATTATAATAATAATCATTTAATATCTAGTTGCTAATTATTTTATTATTGTAATAGTTATTTTATTTATTTTTATTTATTTATTTATTTTTATTCTTTGGTAGTATTACCGATTGCATAAAAAAGGGAGTGCACATCTAGATGTTATCACGGACCCATATACAAAATTTCAACGTTCTATAACTAAAGTTTTTGTTAGTTATGCAAAATGCATATATACGTACTTACACATCACGAAAAAAATCCTTTCAAGTATCAACTTAAAGTAATAATCATTAGTCATAAGTATCAGCTTAGAGTAAATGGATTACATTTAACAATAAGTTTTTTTGAAAAAAAAAAAAAAGAGAGAGAGAGAGAGTCTTTCATTGTGTTCGTACGTACAGGCGTCAGCCCAAAAAATAATTCACATGGATTCCGTAATCGTCAAAAACGGATATTTCCGTTTTTTAAAATATGATACCCAAAAGTTTTCTCGATTACAATAATTACTACCATTTTATTTGATACAAGGAAGGAAGTAAAGAACCTATATTAACCTACATATTCTTATATAAACAATACCTAAGTGCAGTATAAATATTTCAAAATCAATAAAATCTGACTATGGCATGCTCAAGGGAAAAAAAAAAAAAAAAAAAAAAAGATGAATCATCTAAATTTTCAAATTACAAACATAAATAGCAATAGTAAAAAGCAAATACAAAATAACGCTCACGCTATCAAATTGCTCATTTTCTTAAATATCAACAACTAAATAGTATTCAACTAAAACACATAATGTAAACAAGAGTTTGCCCGATGCCCAAAAAAATTCAAAATTATCTATGAAAAATATGAGCGCATTGTGACGCAACCGTATCATTCGTATTCGAACAGCAACCGCATCATTCGTATTCGCATAGAAACCGCATCATTCGTACTCGAACAAACCGCATCGTACGACAGATGCGAGTAACGAACAGATGCGAGTAGCGAAATGAATTTGTGAGTACCGAATCGGTACTTCGAGTCAACCGATGTACCCGTTACTCAGTAACGAATACATGCGGTTTGCTCCAGCTCTAATTGAGATTACTACGCCTCAAATGAAGAGCTGACATTTTTAAGTAATACTGAGGTACAGAACAACCAGAAATCAGGATACCGTGCAATCACATCAGGCAGTTATAGTAGATGTTATATAACTTAGCATGGAATGTAACAGACTTTGGATGACAGTTACAAGTGTTTCAGTCCATGCGACTTTAATTCTGTACCAGAGTTCATCAATCGCTTTGACTACTCGATGTTGTCATGCTGCAATTCTCGACGAGAAGTTTTTAATTGATTAAAGATCTGGAGAACGCTTTCGCTAAGGCAAGTCCTTAATAATATTCACGTAACATTCTGTATATTGAGGAAACATAGGCCAGCATGGAAACTAAGTAGTCTCGCCTTGTCCTGTTGAAAGATGAGACGCTTTAGGTCCTCGAAGATAGGGAACAGCAACGGGTATTTAAAGCTCAGAAATGCAACGAAGCTTGATCAAAATACCGAATATGCGGACTAGATGTGAACGAGATATAATGTAGAAGAAAATGCAGTGGACATCGTGCCCCTAATTGATCACTGGAAATGACTCGCGGTTCAGTTTTCACCCAGCAGTATTATTTCTTTCAACGGCCCTTGTCCACTTCCTTCTTGCAAGGCAGATGTTACGTAGAGACTTCTTAAACTAAGTTGAAGTAGTTAAGTGTGTGGCAGAAATTTCTGAAAAAAAAGTTCTGGAAACCTGAGTCTATTTATTCATATCTGCATCTTGTGAAAACTGTTGAATGGTATGCCATGCTAAAGAGATAAATTATCGGGTCCCTGTCCTTTGATACAACCATGGGCGCTGAGACATACCAAGACATAGTCTCTAAGTCCTTTGCCTTACCACAAAAGATTGAATATTACTTCTGTATACAACAAGTGGGTAAGAAATTCCATTCATCAGATTCGACTATGAAGATTATAAAAAGAAAATTTGACGCCAGAATCATATTTAAATGATAACGATCACCGAAATCTCTAGTTGTTACTCATCTAGACTATTTACGGGGGCATAGCAGTACATCCGCCAAGAAAGCGTTGTGAAAACTAACATCACTGCTGCCATCTAGAGTACAGATGAGGAAAACCATCATGGTATTGCTAGAAACAATGCACTGAATTTGTAGATAAATGCACTGAATCAATTTAATTGATTTCGGTAAAGCATACGAGGGTTATCTGCCTAAGGGAAGAGAGGATTTTTGTGGAAACCATTTTTAAAATAATTGAATCGTATTCATGGATCACATGGGGGGACCACGAAAACACTGACGCAAACAGCCATTTCACTAGTATTCGAGCCTACGTCCAGCCAGCAATCTTATGTATTCCACCATTGTTGAGCCGGAGAAATGGTTCGAATACCGGTTTCTTTTGGGAAAATAAATTAGAGGGACCCCATTTCCAGCATACGGCAAAGCATATTTCCTGAACACGTATTGTTGCGAATTTTGTATATACGCAAATAATTTTAGTGAAATTGCATGTAAATTTTAGTGTATCTTATACAATGTAACATAAAAGGTCTAGAGGAAGCGAAGCTCTACGGAAATATGAGGTTACTCGAGTAAGTCCATTTGACACTGAGGTAAATGGTTATCTCGCCAAACTGTTGATTATTTTGGAAACTAATTTTTATAGCCAAATTTGACAGGAAATCTCGGAAAGTTCTCAAACTTGACGACATTTTGATTCCATTCCTATATAACTGTAAATTGGTCCGATCACTATGCCTATGCAACTGTGTATGCCTTCCACCGATTTCGAGAAATCGGAAGTACTATTAATTCTTTTGCATCTGGGGAAAAGCTATACAAGATCGGACAATGCATCATTTTTCAGTTTAATTCAGTTTTTGGTTCTAAGTTGAGTTCGGATTATTGAAAGATCATCTCGCGAACTTAGCTCTTTAGATGCACTTTGGATTGCGTGTTGTGTTTAACATGCTAAGTAGTTTGAAGTGGTAACTACTAATTGTGTTCTGTTATACTGAGAAGAGCTGTACGAGTATTGTGAAAAGTTCCAGAAATATAAAGTATTTTTTTCAGGAAAATTAATTTTTTCAAGCTATCATCGGTTCTAAGTGCATTCAGACCATTACGAACCCGTACGTATGTAACTGTAACAAGTTTTGGTTTCAGAAGTGGGATTGAATGTTGGTGACAAGAGCGATGGTTGAGCAGCAAAGACAGGTGGTGATAACGACTCAACGTTAAAGAAGAGATGAATCCCGTGAAAGGAACGATGGAAGCAGACCAAGAAAAGATGGAAGTGTCCGCTAAGTAGTTAAAGAAGAAATGAAAACGGAACCCAGATGTGTTTGAAGCTGATCAAGAGGAAATGAAAAGAGAAATTACTGCCATAATAATAAAGAAAGAACTTTCGAGGCTATGGAAGGTAGAATAAGAACACTTGAAAATAAAGTTGGAGAAACTGAAGGAAAGAGTTTCTGCTGTCGAACATTATCGACGACAGAGTTTCTGCTGCTGTCGCCAAGGTAGTTGAACCTATGTCTTTCCGACACAGTCTAAAGCTATCCGCGTAAGATGCAAAAACATCCTGGCAAGTGTGCAAGACTGGTTTTTATTATAGTGGCGGATGCATACGGATGGGGTTCCGAAACCACCTGAGAGCAGATGCAGTGGATATCTTTCAGATTTTTCCTGAAAATGAGAGGCTAGACTTCGAAACTCTACCCGGCCCATTTAAGCTGCGTTTGGGCGAAGAGTGTTTAAATGAATATAGAGGGCTTCAATTAATATTGCCAACGGATGCACAAAGAAGCACTTCAGGAGCTCACCAGGAATGTTGGAACCAGGGATGTTTTCTAAGCCACATTTTAAGGAAACAACTCAAATACACGTGTTACTTCTTTCAGTGACTAATGAAATAGATTGGGTAAAGCCTTCGATATTAAATTTGTAGCTTGCCCAGTAAAATAACTCACGCACATATATCTGTGAATATTGCACGTAAAAGTGTGGGATATTGTGTATTCATCTAATTAAACCAAGAAGATAATTTTAGTAATTGGAATTTTAGCTCTTAAGAGACTACCCAAAAAGGCGGATTTTAAATCTACAAAACCTTTCCACTTACTCTTGTTTCCATACATTTCTCTACCTTATTTTGAGGAACCTTATAAGCAGAAGTAAATGTTTAGAATCAATATTTAGGTATTATCAACACTAGTGTAAAGAAGAGTGAAAATGATACAAATGCTCGAAATCACTTTGTACTTTGATTTATGCTTATTCACACAAATAATCTGAGCTTTTAATTTTGTAGTATGGTGTTGTAATGGATGCTGGATCATCAAAAACAAATACAATTTTATACAAATGGCAAGCCAATAAGCACAAAGGTACTGGTTTCGTTTCACAAGAAGACAACTGTTTTGCGAAAGGTAAGCACTGTTCCAGTTTAGAATTTGCAAACTTTCATGTGTTAAACATTCTTCTTAGGCTTCTGTTACTGTTTTGTCAGCATATTTAATTCTTGTTTTAATGGCGCTCGAGTAATAAAATCGCTGAACACTGGTAGATCGACCCGGACTCAAACTCCGGTGAACGGGTTAACAGCATAAATGTTTTCGGGGTTTTTCTCATGCATAGCATTTATACGAGCCAGTCCCCTAAGAAATCCTCCTCGAAGGCTTCCCACTTTTTAAGCAGATGGATGTTGAGTGCAATGCCATGATTTAAAGAATCCAGTCTTAGCATTCACTTCGGAATAGCTGCAAGGTATTCAATTGGTTCAAATGTGACCAGCGGATGCGCTTTCTGAAATATTTTAAATGAATAAATTAGTTCTTAAACTGCAATTATTTTCATATCATTGAAACTAGAAATAAAATAATCCGGAGAACTGTAACAAAAAAAAAAAACAAAAAAAAAAAAAAAACACAGAATGTTTATTAAACTTAATAATAAAGTAACTTAACGTAAAACCAAAGAATGACAGTCCACAGTTCTATGTGACCTGCAGTAAAGCCAATACTGAGATTTCTGAAACAGTAGCAATGTAGAAAAAATGTTTGGCTATTTGTGATAACAGCCGTCAAGCATCTTAACTGCGCAGCCTGGAATTAGCTGTAAGGAGAAATCCAAACACTGCATCCAAGCAGCACTACACTATCAGGTACGACTCCCATGTGGGCTCCACCATCACTCCGACCCCCAAGAATTGGATTCTTGATACTTATGCAGAAGGACCAACTTGTTTACGGGCCGCTGGAACATGTCATGAGAAGCCAGAATTTTAGCTACACGGACAAATCCATCTGACCCTGAATATACCTTCACTATTATTCTCACTGGCCATGCAGACGGGGAAGTGTCACTTTTAACAAAATGATGTCACCAGCTTCCAGATTCAGTCGATTTCTTGTCCATTTTGATCCAGACTGCAAGGTATTAGGTATTTGTTGTGCTATCTCTTCTAGAATCACTGTTTTACTTTTTGCAGCAAATCCGGTCTAGAACGAGGGTCAGGAAGAATGGTACAGTTAATATTCGGAAACATCACTAATAGTTTCTCCTACAAGGAAACGAGTTAGCATATCTAAACTTGATATATAGGAAATAATGAGACTTAGAGACCTAGAATTTAAAATAACCGCTACTTCTGCAAGTAAAGTGTTTTCTATAACTCTTCTGAAATGAAACTTAATTTAATTCCGCTAAATCCATTGAACACTTCTGACTTATTTATTTTCCTTACAGCTATTTCCATCTCACGCAGTTTTCTCTTCCTTCCAAAAAAATTAGTCGAATTATCACTGAAAATCTGTTGCGGTGCACCTGGACGTGCAGCGCACCCCTTCACTGCAGCAATAAAAGAATCGGTAGTTAAATCCGATAAGGTTAATTTTGATAAATCTTCTAGGATATTAACTGTTGTTGCCATGCAAACGAATAATGCAACATAACACTTAACAATCCTTGTACCACGTCTTTTGCTAAATTTCAGAGTTACTGGTCCAGCAAAATCGATACCATAGTTGTTTAAAAATGGTCTTTTTGATTGTACTCTAGATTCTGAAATGTTTCCCATTACTTGAATAGAAGTATTGACTTTATATCTAATATAAACTACGTATTTTTCTGTAAAATTTCTAATGATCTTCTTCTCTCTAGTAATTCAATAATTTTGCTTTAAAATATAACACTAAAGTTTCTGCATGTAAGTATGTAATATGATACTGCTTAATTAAAAGTTCACTCAGTCTACCAGACGGTTGTACCAAAAATGGTACAACCGACGCCAATCGGAATATTCTCGCTAGTAACCGCTTATGCCTCCATTTTCAAAACGAGTTGTAGCCATTTCTTATCAGATTGATTGTTTCTTTCAATACTGGCATACAATTACATAGAATTTTTACCCAACAGTTCAATTTTATGCTCTAAGGCCATTCGCGCTAATTAAGTCAATTAGGATGCAACCACGTAGCTCACCCGAAGGCGAAAATATAGGAAAGGCAAAGTCAAGGGTTAAATTCATCAATTCTAATGAGAATGCACTAGCGAAGTAAAGTACTGGGTTTCACATAATTTTTGAGTAAGCTATTCGTGCGAATTAAAATGATTCTTACATTTAAACTTCTATTCCATATTAAGATTTAACTTGAAATTAATGTAGATCATTACTGAGAGAATTAGATTTTTATAGTGTAATTTACGTGAGATGAGGTCATATGATATGGACCGGCGAATCAAGATGTTGTACCATGAAAGCATAGTAAATTCTTAAATTAATGTCTTTTTACAAAATTTTAAACGTTATTAAAATGTTTGTGTCTCCAAAATAAAAAATTCTTAGAACTAACATTTGTTAACATTTTTTATGTGTATATTGTGTGTTGTCGCCAATTAAGTCTGCTTGGCAATATCTGCGCTGGCGAAACGGAAAAGTACCGGAAAATCTAGTATTATTCTTAGCCAACGCACCAATCCTCAGTGGCGTTGACTGGCTCAGAAATCGGCCAACAAGAATCCTGCAACCATAGCCGATTTATTACAAGCCCTTTTGGGAAAACATCTCTAAAACATGATCTGCCGGATTATATTCCAAAAGAGCACAATTTCCATTGATACCTCGGCAAAACACCTAAAATTTCTGACCTTCTGTTAGAGATGAAAGTTTCCCATCTACTAGGAGGTCGTGCTAACTATACTAGTACAACTTTAGAATCAATCAATGCAAAGATTTCAAATTTGCAGTTACACAAAATATTCTTCATAGAACTAACAAGCTTGTATAGTAAATGAGCTGCACTCAGTTCCACTCTAGGAACAGATAATAGGAGCAATCCTAAACTTTGTGACGAAAATATTTACTTTACATTCGCCTTCAAGTTCTTGCTGTGAATAAATCACTACTGCACTTCTGAGGCATCACAAAATGCGCGTAGTTGCATTTTCTCTGCGTGGAGTTTTAATATACTCAAAAGCTGAAAATTCCTTCTGAAACTGAATTCATTTACCAGCAGTGCCATTAGGAATTGGATCATCCCAGTCAGTATTAGAAATCTAAAGTTGCTGATGCATGTTCTTCACCACAATCGAAGACTGACAGCAAAGCAAGAAGATCAAAGATCTTGCTAGCTGAGACAACATTTTGCATTATGTGAGATTTTCTTCGACAGGTAAGGATGTTTTAAATACAAAAGTATCTAATATTGAATCCCAGTATAACCCTAAGGCTTTAGACCACTCATTACGCATAAGTTCCAAACCAGATGAACCAAATCCACGATTCAACAAATAATTTCTTAAATAAAGCCAAATGTTCCGCCACTTTCTTAATTTAAAATCACTAGCTTCTAATGCCCCAGATAACTGCCTAAAAATATGAAAAGCTTCTTCAGTACATTTTGAACCAGAAAAAATGTTATCCATGAAGAAATCATTTCTTATTATCTCGGAGACAAGCGGCGAGTCATTTTCACAGTCCAGGGCGATTAGTTTTAAACAAATTAGTTTAGTTATTAAAATTAAACAATTTAGCGATTAGTTTTTCTCGTTGCCAAAAATGAAACAGCTACACCATAAGTTACCGTGTTTAATCGATACTTTAGTTTATCATCCTACCTAATTCGCCATGCAATTCTTTGAAAGTTTTCTACCCTCTTCCGAACAAAAATCTGCCGGAACACTTCGATGTTATCAACTGTAAATGCTACAGCATGTGTTCTGAAACTTGTAGTCATCGATACTACATAACGCTGTATCGTTGGACCACATAATATAGAATTTATAGACTTCCTGATAGCAGACTTACATGAAGCATCGGATACCACCACTATTTTGTCGTAGCGCTATCCGGCTTAAATACAGAATGGTAGGGAAGGTAACCCAGTTTGTGATTTAATTAGACTCGTATCACTCAACTCTTCATATTCGGCCGTTAATTCCTTATAACTCTTTCCAAGCTAAGACTTTGCTTAAATGCCTGTTCCATTGCAAATAAACGTGAAATTGCTCCTTACGTTTCCTAGTTTATCGGTGCAATTCTGAAATGAAAGCTTGACAAATCCACCGTCAGTTTAGTTTATTTTGACTATGGCAAAGCACTCTAAGGCTATCTGCCTAAAGGAAGAGATGCCTTCGTGGAGGACTTTCTCAGGAAAACTGGCTCGTATACACGTTTCAAGTGGAGAAAACAACGAAAACGCCCATGCAGCCAAACTGTTCGATTTGGCCCGAAATACCAGTGTTCCGCGACTTTACCGCTCGGGCGCTAGTGGGCCCAATCTACCGTCTGAATGGACCTATTAATTACCTTGAAAATGTCTTTCACAATATTCATCTTCTTATAATCACCCAGTAATCTTTCGAGGCAATTCTTCAGTTTCATCAACGTTTAGCTCAGCACGGAAGTTGTGTAATGCAACTGCCGCTTGCTTATCCTGAATTGAATTTTGAATATTTCATGAGAGAATCCATCCAAAATGCGTGTTTTTGAGCTGTCCTGGATCTTTAATTATGCTTGACAACAACAGGGAAAAGAAATAATCACCGCCAATAATGATGTCAATTTGTATCCTCTTATCAAACGTAGGATCAGCTAACGTAATACAATCAGTAAACGGTAGAGTATTACGTTCAGTATCGCCCAGTGGAAGAGGGAAGGTTAACTTATTTAACTGATAAACGTCCATTGCAAATTTCTTCTCTCTTACAAATTCCTTTTCAAAGTTAAATTTTGGAATCATGCAGTTCGACCATGCCTCTACCAGTACCAGCAATTCTGAATGATAAGCCCTTAACCAGAAAAGTCGTTAGTTCTTTGCAGACCCAAACTTTGTGCACAGGAGCCAGTTATGAAACCGCACTCATGTTGAAAATTAAAACAATTTGCACATTACGTGGAATTTCTGAAAAATTGATGGACAGCTTTGAATTAAATTTGGTATGAATATATATTTATAACAGAGAAAGAAATGAACCATTCAAAACTCATTTTATGTAACCATGATTATCATTAAAGCTCACAGTGCAGGGATATCGAAAATCCATCTTGTGATATCAAACTGAAAATTGATCTAATATGGGGTATAGTCCCTTCTCACAGCCAGATAAGTCTCGCAGCTTGATGGTGTACTGGGCAGGAGGCGATTGAGCACTCCTTGTGGTAGTTAATCCCCCTTTTGTAGCAAAGCAGTTTTCAACTCCGGGATGGGTCTCGGATGGGGATGGCAAGATAAAATTGCTCTTCCAAGAGAGCCCCAGACGTGCTCAAGGTTAGGCAGTACTTTTTTTTGTTCAATAATATACACAATTTTCTTTTATCGCCAATCGCCTGTTCAATGAAGTACAGACACAAACATATTTTTCAAATCCATCATATTCTGTTATAGTACTACTGGCGAAAGGTACCATGTTATGCCCGTGTGTGGGGGGGGTTATGGCAAAGCCTCGAGGGCTATCTGCCTAAGAGGAGGGATGCCTTCGTGGAGGACTTTCTAAGGGAAACTAGCTCGTATACACGTTACACATGGGGAAAACCACGAAAACGCCATGCAGCCAGCCCGTTCGCGGGATTCGAACCTCGGACGGAACTACCAGTGTTCAGCGACTTTACCGCTCGGCCGCTGGTGCGTGTTATGCCCGAAAAATGTCTTTGGCGAATAAGTTGTTGGTTCAGTACGATGAATGAACTATCCTACTCCGCTATATGCTTTCTTTATATGGTTCAAATTATTTATTTGAAATATTCAGTCATTGCTAAATCTCAGCGAATTTCCTCGTTTCCTGTCGTAATATCAAACACTTTATTCCAAAATATCCCCCCCCCTTTTTACAAACCAAAAATCACTAGAATTTGTTATATCTTCATTAGTCTTAAATATTGATAAGGGTTTGAATAACTGAGAAACAGCATATTTGAAAACTAGGAGTGCATCTTTGAGTAAATGTATGGTAACTTATTTATTCATGAGCCGGACGCAGAGAATAGTTACATTGTTATTATGTGTGCCTGAATTTAAATTCATGAGAAGTGTATGTGTTGATATTAATTTTCAAACATTATATTTTTAAATGTTTCTGAGTAAAGATCTTTAGCTTACTCTAAAAATTACTTTTAAAACGAATAACTTTGCATGGAATTCTATTATTCCCCATCATGCGTTGCTAGTTCCAACATTCCACGACCTGTTAAAATGTTATATTTCATATGCTTCTGTAAAGTACTATCTGTTAATTTTTTATCCTATGCAAAAAAGTTTCATTTCCTCCTTTTTAACTGAAATCCATTTTCTTATATATTCGCCTTTCGTAAAAAGAAAAACATTTTGTGAATACACATAAATCAGTCTTCCAAAGTGTACTACCAATTTAATTCTAATGCGCGTCACTCAGTTTCCATAAAGCTTAAATGTTTATTTATTTACAAATGCCTCGCACTTAACCTATTAGCTTACATGCTTTACTAACTCTTTGAGTTTCAATGTGTACTACTGCTAATGACAGATACACGTCATAATTTCTTTAATGTAGCTACGCGATATATAAAAACAGTTAATTTCGTCACCGCTAGTCGAACGAGAAATGAAACTGCTAGTGTTCAGTGGTTCTAACCCCTTGGTCACTGATTAACCATCATTATGAACTGAATTATAATACAGAAAATAATATTTCAGAAAGAATGTACTTTACATTAGCTTTAAAAGTCATTGAACAAAAATGTCGAAGTTAAGAATCAGAAACCACACATCAGAAGAATATCTAGGAGTGCAAACGAATAAAATTTCTGGTTAATAAATCTTCTTCTGTTAATAAGCCTGATTGTTTTTAATCAATTTTCTTTTTGTTATAGATGCATCAAATTATTATAGTTATATTTTATAAATTCTTAACAGGTGGTATTGCCAAAATGGATCCTATGAAATTAGATCCTGTCATAAATTGTGCCAAGAAAGTAACAAAGCATATAGATCCACCATCTCTCTCTAGAACGCCTCTATTCTTTGCTTCCACAGCGGGCATGAGACTTTTAAAGTAAGTATTAAACATTCATATGACAGTTATCAAAACGTTCATTACTAATTTAAGAACTTTTATTGCAGCATCATAGAGTTGATGATTTGAGTTAATTTTATTGAGTTGGTTTTCTTTGGGCTAACTTTATATTTCCCTTTCTCATTACAACTCTCTCGAGATATTCAAGAGATGACAATAAAGAATTTTTTAAATCCATACTGTAAAATGTAATATGGGAGACTTGATGAAAGAATGCTTAAATGTAGTCGAAAGCAATTGTTTAAACCAGGGATAGGCAAACTACGGCCCACCTCAAGGTTCTATGCGGGGCGCCGCAAATTAAAAATGTATTTTTATGTAATATATTTATGATATTAGTATAACATATGTATTATATATTAAATATTACTATAAAATATGATATAAATTGTATAGAGTTCGTGCCCATACAGAGATGTCACGTGTCCCCCCCCCCAAAAAAAATTCCTGTTATCTCACTGACATTTACATTGCGCATTTTACGCTCTGCTCACTGTCTTTTTGTTGTGGCACGAGCACATATAAGTGTAACAAGACTTGCATCTCCCCTTAAAAATTTCCTAGAAAGCGATATTTATTGATAATCTTCCGAAATGAATAAAATACTCATTTTCTTTTTTCTATTCTTTTTTTTTTTAATGAACACAGAAATTTTACATTCGCAATAAATTTATATTACCTAGTTCTAATAGCAAATATTGATGAAGAAAGATAAGCGTCACACAGCGAATAGATAAATGTCTTTCTATATTACTGATTGCGTCTATCGTTGAATGTAAAGATAGCGGACAGATTACGTCATTGTGAATTAGTGGTGAAATTTTTAAAAGGTGTAGTGTTGCCAGTGCTTGTTTGTGTTAATGTGGATATAAGTAAACTAATGTTGATTACTAAAACTAATGTTGATTAACTAAAAAACCTAATGTTGATTCAGAGTGCCACGCTTTTAAACATGAATGGATCTAGGATTTTTTCCCCTTATAGTTGTAAAGGATAAACAAGTTTGTCTCATCTACAGTGAAGCTGTACCTCTCTTCAAAGAATATAACATTTCCCGTCACTTTCCCATCAAAGCATAAGAATTCCATTGTCCGAATATGAAAGAAAACAAAGCAGAAAACTGCAGAAATTATCAGGTCGACAAATTTGTTTTAAGACAGTAAACAGTATCCAGGAATCAGCTACACATGCAAGTTACATTGTAGCAATAATATTACTAAAAGTAATAAAGCTCTCAGTGATGGGGAGTTTGTTAAACGTTGCATGCTCTAAGTTTTTATGCACTTGTGGTAACAAAGAAATTCATAATAAATAGAAACAAAAAGTTTCTCGTGTGCTATTTAACGAAGAGCTTACTTTAACGCACTTAGCTTACTATCGTATACTAAATTACTTAAATTATTTCTGTACATTAACAAAAGGAAAGTTATTGATTATAAAAAGTGCATGAAATAATCATTGTAATCTACCACCATTCTAAAATGTAGAAACTAAAAATAAGTAAATACATTATATGATGATCGAAAGAAATGGTGTTAGGAAACATCAGCACTGCCCAAGTAGTACGGTGACGTCGTAACGACGTTGAAAACTGGTCCGAGAGGTTGCAAAGTGGTCGTGGTAACTTTTACGTCGTCTTTACAACAATGTTGGCAATTTGTCAACATCGCTGAAACGTCATGATATGACCGCTTTTAGACGTGGTCGGTTTAGCATCCTTTTCATAGTTCATCAGCGTTACTTTTAGAATGAAAAAAAGACTAAATCTGCCCTTTCAAGAATCTGAAGTCCGCATAAGATTTATTTTGCAATGTTTCATTACTTTATTTCATCTAAATATATTAATCTAAGGTAGCTTCATCTAATGAAATATAAATTTAATATAAATACTTTTGAATTTATTAAATTAAATTATTACCAAAAAATACTTGCTAAATTATTGTTTAAAATTTTGTTTAAAATAATTAATATTTAAATATTTTTATAAATATTATAGCAAATATTTAAAAATTAAACTAATCTATAAAGTAAGTTATTAAATTATGCATTTTATATATTTTAAAAAATCATATTTCCGAAATCAATGCAAATCACATGTTAGCAATTATTTCACTGCTGAAGTATGACTCTATTATTTTTAAAGTAAGAACGAATTTATTTGAATTAATATGCTGACATAATATGAAACATTTTCTCGCATACAGAGCAAAAGTATAATTTTCGCGAAGATATGATTGTGCGTGAAGATGTATTCACGGATAAAAATGGGGCGATTTTAAGAATTCCGAGAAACCGTCTAATGCTAAAGGACGTTGCATATCCATGCATATTTAACGGCTGTCCAATATGTATGACGGAAAATTCACCGACAGTCGGGAGGAGCAGAACGGAAAAATTAATGAAAAAGGAGAAATAAATATTAACACTTTTGATGGAAAACGACAAAATTGAGGGATTTGATAAATTAATAATAAATGTTGACATCAAAATTAAAGAAACTGTGGACAAAAATACGAAATTCATTACCTATAAAAATTCTGATGAACTGTTTATGTTTTTACGCATTCAAAAATGCTTGGTTTAATCCTAGTATACGGTACACTCGGGATTTGACGACATTGACATTACAAATGTTTTAACGAGCTCAATAAATATTTTTTTTTTGTAAATATAATCTTGTGAACATTGTTCGTAATTCTATTCAGTTGAAATAATTCATTTAGGCCATTTAAAAAAGATTCTATTAAATTATCAGAAGAACCGTCGAAAGGTTTAATACAATAGTATAAGTCGCTGAAAAGTTACTGAATGAGATACATTCCGCAAGAGAAGAGGAGGAAGAATGACTTTGCTTGTTTACATTAGCTGTACATAAGTCACGTAATCTCTGAGGTCATCTGCATTGTTTGCTTACAAAAGGTATGCATAAGTCACGTGATCAATGAGGTCATCGGAATGTATCTCATTGCTGTTCGACCGACTGACATTCCATGTATATTATTTACTGGATGATTATATAAACGAGCATCTGAGCTCGAGGCTTGTGCGCTTTGGCTAGCTGCCAAATTCGAACAAGTAACTGCGTAATCAATTGAGATTCCAACAGCTTTTTGAAGTAATTTGGTAAAGATGCTATCTGTAAAGCATTTGAAAAGACTGACTTCATGTTTGAAATTGAATCAGTCAATGACTGATATAAATAATATTTCTTATATTAAAAGTAAGTGTCAATCAAAGAACACACTGTGAATCTTATCATTGTTCTGTCTCCATCTACTTACTTCAACTGCCTTCAGTGAGTGAATTTGCATTGCTGTGAGCTCTTGTTTGGGAGCCTCTGAATTAAGGACAAATCATCGTAGAAATGCCGAAGTTGTGCTTATTTTGTTTGGGAATATCTGCTCTACAAGAAGACACCGAAAGTTTGGATAAATCATTTAGAAAATATCAAATGCAACGTGCTACAATGCTAATCGTGAATATAGTGTTCTATTTTGGAGTTTTATATGTTTCCGTGTTCTCTAATCTTCATTGGTTTCAGCGGTGCAATATTTGGATACACGGATTAGCGTTTCGGTTATAAGGTCCTAAGTGCTATATCATATATCATTCATATTAATCGATTATTGTGTTGGTGCTCAGAATTAATTCATGTAAAACTGAAAATAACATGCAACGGTAAGGCATTTTTTGATTTTGCTGAAAATGTTTCATTAGTTTCAAAATACAAAGAAATTATTGGACTGGTACCAGTATTTAATATGACTGCTGAAGATGAATTAGATATATGTAACAACAAGAACCAAGACATTAAAATTAATAATAATGCACATTCTATAGTACGTTTTCTTTTGTATAGTATGCTGAAATGGTTAATGATTTTAAAGTGTATGAAATGTATGATCGAAAAAATAGTGTTAAGGAAACATTAGCATTACTATGAAATATTGTAATCTATAATTATGTCATATTTAATTGTGTAATATTAAAAAACACTAAATATTTTTAATTGATTGCAAATTGCAGTTTTATTTTCGTTTGATATCTATTCTTCCAAGCACTGTGTAATTCGCGTTTTTTTTTTTTTTTTTTTTTTTTTTTAATATTGCCGTTATTTTATGTTTATTAGATTATGTCAATAAATGAATGTTGGAAATCAGGTTTTATTTTTTATTAAATTTAAGTATATTCTATTGCCGTTATGTATGTTTATTAGATTCTCTCAATAAAGGAATGTTGGAAATTGGGTTTTATTTTTTATTAAATTTAAGTACATTCTATTTTCTTCACTTACTTTTTATGTGCTTGTGATAACAAAGAAATTCATAATAAATAGAAACAAAACATTTCATCGTGTGCTATTTAACCAAGATCTTACTTTAACGTACTTAGCTTACTATCGTATACTATATTATTTAAATTATTTCTGTACAGTATTATAAAATGTGCATGAAATAATCATTGTAATCTACTCCTATTCTAAAATGTAGAAATTAAAAATAAGTAAACATATTAACATATGATCGAAAGGAATGGCATTAAGGAACATCATTATTAGTAAATACTGCAATCCATAATTATTGCACTTTTAATTGCTTACTATTTAAAAAACACAAATATTATTTTTATTAATTGGAAATTTTAGTTCCGTTACCATCCTTCTGTTATTCATACTTTCAAACACTGCTAGTTCATGTTTTTGTTAAATAGTGCTGTCATGTATGTTGTTTGTTAGGTTATTATTTCATTTTAGATATGAATATGGGAAGTTTTTTTGGTTATTAGATTTAGGTATATTTTTGCATGAAATAATTTTGATCACACTTATTAACTACTTTATACAATGTTTCATTTGCATATCTTGGATATATAGAAGTTAATGGTTATATTTTTTACTACAAAACGCGAATAAATTTATACTTGAGTTCAGGTAAAATACCGATTATGTTACCTTAAGAACCACTTCCAAATTTATCATGACGGGCAATTTTCAATGTCTCTGAGATTTAACATAAATAAATGTGATAATGCTGTTATAATCAGGAAAGCTCTTTTTTTAACCCACATATATATATCTTTACTTTTATTTATGTCCGATTGAATTTTATTTACTTAAAAACTACTATTAATGTTATATATATTTATAATAACCACTTTCAAAATTACTCTCACTTAGATACCAAAAAATTAAGGGAAAAAATATGAAATGTTAAATAATCGTAACTTTGAATTTAAGTTATTTACAAAATATAGTTTAAAGTACTGAAAATAATTAAGGCTATTATTAATTATGCATAATTATTCTAAAGAGAAAAAGTTGTATTATCTTCTGTTTTTCAATGAATGATAAAATATTTAAACTTTAGAAAAGTACAAGCAATACAAAATTTTAAAAAAGAAGAAAAATACATGAATTATTAAGCTTATTTTTCTGCATAAATCAATATGTAACACAAGGACGTAATAACGACATTTTCACAACTGTTGCAAAAGGTGGAATTTTACGAACATTTAGGCGTCGTTAAGACGTGCTTTCACAACCAAAGTATCACCTGCGAAAGACGCAGTAACGACGACTATGCGACAAAAACCTCATCTGCAAAGACGTAATAAAGTCGTCTTTGCAACGGTTGGAAAACAGTGGAGTTTCGCGGACATCTGGGCTTCTTAAAGATCACATATTGCAACGTTTTTTTGCAACGACATCCACGACGAGTTTGCAACGTCGTTACGACGTTGCCGTCGTACTTGGGCTCAGAACTACAAGGATATCTATCTATCATTTTGAGATATCACAGGTTTTGCTGCAACTTATTAGTCAACCAATTAACCACCTTTATTTTGTACTAAACGCTTCCTTTGAATAAATCATAAAGTTGCTTTTTTTCTCCCATGTGTAACGTAAGTATTCAATTTGCATTAGAAAGTCTTCTACAAAGGCATCTCTTCCATTAAGCAAATGGTCGCGTGCTTTGATGTTTTCGGCGCAACAAACAAATATAATATTTCCCAACGAAAACTTTCCTATGTACAAAATTCTTTTAACATCCATTTACTAATCCAGTATATTGTCATAATGTGTCAACTTGAGGTTATAAAACTGAAAAATGAATAGCGAGTTACCGTATATTTTTGAATATTATGAATTATATGTATATTTGTGAATCTAAGCCAAACTAGAAGTGAAATTTGGTTCATAACACTCATCCAAAACTGAAAACCACTATACAAACCGAATTTTAAATCGCCCTTAAGTCCAACTACTTATATTCTAATCAAGAAGGAGATAAATTACACAGGATTAATATCTCTCTGTTGTGACAAATTTAGTAATAACAAAGCACAAAATGATCTATTTCGAAACCATTTAAATCAAAACTGAAATAAAAGTAAATCAGAATAATAAAACAAAATTCACTTAATATTAAATGGCAGTTGAAATTGTCTTTTGTCAATGAGCAGCAGGAAGAATTTTCAATAGAGCCCATTTCTAAGTTATATCTGGAGGAAAAACAAAACTAATTCATGACAATTAAATTTATGAGAATTAATTTTAAAATTATTAAATGATAATAAATCAATATAAAATAAAGGTTTTAAGAAACTATTGCTATTTTAAGAAACTGCTCCTTGCCAAAGGATTTTCAATTAATTTTTAATAATGTGTGAATTTTGATTTATTGCGATAATTTACTTTTATTTCCGTTTTGATTCAAAAGCATTTAAAATAGGTTATTCTACGCTTTCCTGTTGGTACGTTTGTCACCATAGAAGGATATTTATTCCATGTAATTTATCACTTTCTCGATTCTTTAATTAATTTTCCTGCATTTTACGTGACATTAATAATTATTAATTTTTCAAATTTCTGATTTCTGTAATATTTATCTCTGCAAACGTGTGAACAGGGCTTCTAACTTAAACTTATCAGACGAGCTGAAGATGAGTGTCAATTCAACTCAGATAGATGTAAGTAAACGTTACATTAAATCAAGAACCTCAGTGTCAAAAATTTTGAGAACACTTATTAAAAACAATTTAGCATAGGTCAGTGAATACGCAGTAAGTACTGAAGTGAACATTCAGCTGAGATCCAGCTTTAGTTACTGTATCTTCACTCATTTCTGAAGTATTTAACGATATAAATATAATTCAATGCGCGTAAAAGAAGTTCAAAACTTCTTCATATTCGTCTCCCAATTCCCGTAGTAACCTGATCTCATAAGTTTCCAAAATCTTGGAAAAATGAAAAAAAAAAAAAAAAAAAATCGGAAAGGCGTAATCTCTAGCTTTAATAAAGTAATCTGCTTGTTGAAGTACCAGTATTCATGAAATGTTTTGAAAACTGACATGATACAATAATTTTAAAACGTAGTTGCACAGAAAAGTATGCAAATGTTTATGATGTTTATCCAGTTTCGTAACCTAACTCACTTCATATCTTTTGTAGCATAACAAACCCTAAACGGGCAGATGAAATTCTGGAACAATTATCTCTGCATCTGAACGAGACAGGATTATCGGTGAAAAAAATTGAAATCATTTCCGGCCCAGATGAAGGAATATATGGTTGGATTACAGCAAATTTCCTTCAGAATACTTTGGAAAGAGAGCAGGTAATAATTATGAAATTGTCTTTGGATTGAAAGTAGTTTCCATGCCAGATAACGTTTTAAAAACCTTAGATAAAGCTATTTCAGTTAAAGCCTTCCGTAGCTTTTCTCCTCAAATTATAAATATGTTGGCCTTGATTTAAAGAAGTTATTTCAGCAATTACAGCATGCAATAACCATGCAAGAAAATTATTTTTAGTGCCCTGCTTCATATAAAAAAGCTCTCGCTCTCTTTTCTGACATCACAAGTTAAAGAATACAAGTTCCTCTTATCAGCATTATTTTTACTAAATTTAACAGTTTATATCTATAGAATTTTATACCATTTTTATGTATGTTAGTTTTGAAGACGTATAAATTAACTCATTAGCACCATTTCAGTCACCGGTGACTGACATTATGTACGTTCCGTTGGGACCTTGTTAGTCACCTGTGACTAACAATAAACTTTTTGTTTACGCCGTGTCAATTGTTGACTCGCAGTATACACTTTAGGAAATTGTATTCTATCACATTTTACGCAGATTACGCAGTATGCTGGCGGCCGCCAGCATACTGTTGAATTCGAATATCACGAGCTGAATGGACAGGCAGACAAAAGAGGCTTGGCACTTATCATGTTAACTAATCATTTCATATCAAATTAAAAAAATTCTTTATTGTTTGGCTTTTAAAATACAGACAAATTTTTAAGATTTGCTTTTGAAACTATCGTAACTGCATATCAATATACTGATTGAACTAAATTCATAAGAAACTATTATATATACGCAGATATGCATGCATTTTTACTTACAATACTTTGTTAAATTTAATGTTCTCGCAAGTGTAGGTTGTAAACTAAAATACATTTTTAGCATTAAGAAATAAGCAAGGAAAACAAAACTTTATTTTTCACTTCTGTAACGAAATCAGTTTAGAATCTTCCAGTTAAATTTAATTAAGTAAACTAATATAATTAAAATACTTTTTATATACAAGTAAATAAAAACATAATGGAAACCAATTTTGTTGAATGCAAGCATGTAAAGTGTGCATAAAAGTTACCTCAGTTTTTTAATACACTACTTACAGTTCTCTTTCGTGTTATTGGCCAATAGATTAGTGATTTACTCCAATACTTTTAAGTTTTTAACAAACCAGAGTACAGAAGTATCTATTTGTAAAATTTTGAAGCTAAGTATGTGCATACACAGAAATAGATAGCTTACAGTTACTTACTATGCTTATTTGCATTAATTATTATCTCCTCAAAATTTGCTGCACTGCACAGGCGTTCCCCAACTGTAAACGATCGCTTTTTAGCAATCCTTTTAGTTCATACTTAAAATCTGCACGTACAATGGGTAGCTTACTCTTAAAAATATAACTTCATATTTTGTATGTTTAAAATTTTCTGCATATTTCATTATTCGTTAATGGCAGTGTGTCCATACACGGTGCAAGTTGTGTATATTCCCTCAGCTTTTACAGACATTCTCAAGCTATATATATATATGTGTGTGTACTAGGCTGCAAAACTTTCGTTATTAAATTTTGCACTTCAGCGTGCAAAACTTAGGAGCAACAGATTTATTTTTCAACATACAACATAAAATTGTTGAAAAGAGCTTTCTGCGATCAGCGCAGTAAAAAAGCCAACCCAGTAAAGAGGTGATGTATTTGCAAAATTCAGAACCTTAACGTCAGAGGGTATGTCAGGGTACGCAAAACGCGAGGAGTCAGCTCGCGCAGTGCAAGCCAACTTGAAAAGCAGAAAGGAAGACTCATTTCCAGTCATTCTTTTGCAAGATAATGTAAAATTGTGCATGCAGTATGGCTACAAGAAAGCATCAGTTCACCTTTACATATGGTAGAATGATAGGCAAACTGCCGAAGAAACTGGAACTGAGAGAATTGCTTGTTTCACGGGCTAGGAAAGCCTTCCATATGACAGGTTTAGGTGTAAAAAAAAGGTTGTGGTGGTCGGCCAAGGAAAAGCAACAATGGCTGATGAATCAGCATATCGCCCTGCAAGCGAAAACAGATCGAAACCAGATAGCGGGCAACACTGCTCAGCCGTTGCGCATGGTAACCAGGCGACAGATGTCCCAGTTGACTTCATAAAAATGGCTTATTAACTCGCCGCCCTGAACGCTGCATACCACTGATAGCAGCTCTACTATGGCATAGAGAACACAAAGAGCGGACACCTCATCAGTGGAGTCACGTCCTCTTTGCCAATGAGGTTCGTTTCAGTCTGACAAACGATATTCGACGTCAGTTCATATGGACAGAGGTAGGGACATGCTTTCATCTCACTAATGTGAGAGAAAGAGACCTCTTAGATGGTCCTGGCGGGGTAGTATAGGAAGGTATTATAATGAATGGATGGAGCTCCATATTTCTGATAGAGGTTCACGTACCAGAGACAGTCACTGTGAGGAAGTTATCGTTCTATAAGTGAGTTTTTTCCAAGGTTGACCCGGCATTGTTTTTATAAATGAAAATGCACAACCATACAGGACTTCTGCCCTTGAGGAGCTCCCAGAAAGTGAAGATATCCACAGAATAGATTAGCCAGTGTGCTTTCCTGATTTAAATCCTATTGAACACATGTGAGATACTTTAGAGAGACACCCGGCGGCACGATCTTACCTACCCCAGACAAATGAAAATGATGCTGCTTGAAGAATGGAAGCTCTTACCTCAAGAGCTGAGCTCAAGTTCTATTGTTCAGACGGTGCAATGCTACCATTTGCAGTTAGGGAAAGTCATAACCTTTTATTAAAGCACTTTGTTGTTCTCTGTCTTGGTCAGATAGGTTTTTCTTGTACAAACGCCATTCTGTGAATAAAGACTGTCCTATTCGTTCCGTCCTGTGTGGGTTTCCTTTTTCGCCCCTACTATACTTTACACATTCTTTAAATAGCAGATTGTGGCTCTGTGGTATGAATTCTATATCTCCCAGTTGATGGTTTGCAGAAACGGCTAAAATCCGAAAAGTTCCTTAAGTTTTGCACACTAGTGTATGTACACATATATAATATGTTTTTTGGTACATAAAATGTATTTGTGAGCTGAAGTAAAGTTAAATTAGCATTTCGGCAGCTTCCGGCTTTTGGCAATGCCTTAAAAGGGGGAAACTTCTACATTTCAATTATTTTTTTTCCCAATGGCGGGCCCTCAGCAGACTTCAGCTTGGTCACTAAGGCCAGAAGTGGTGGTCACTTTACCTAATAGGTGGGCCACCTTTGCCTCCTATGAAGGAAAAGACAGTTACAACCAGAACATTCGAACTCGGGCCTCTTGATATCGCAGTCGGCTCCACTAACCACTATACCATCTGGCCGGCGAAGTTCTATTGTTTGTAGCCTCTGTTTGTAATATTTTAGTTCTTGGTAAATTTTTGCCTAGCCATTGGAAATTTAAAAAAAAATATTAAAATTTAATACTGCAACACTGATGGAATAAATAACAAAATGTAAACGTATATTATGACTGTCTTACCAAATACATATTAGTATGGAGGAACTGAAATCGTTGAATCCTTTTTGTGATCTATTCGGTTTCCTCATTTTCCTAGTGCAAATAGTATGAAACTGATAAAGTCTTCATATTACTAAATTTACCATCTTCCTTGTGAATCAACTTTCTCCTGTCTTCTTATCAATCAACTGATCTGTTCTTATCAATCAACTGATCTGTTCTTATCAATCAACTGATCTGTTCTTATCAATCAACTGATCTGTTCTTATCAATAAACTTTCTTCCGGTCTTCCTCATGTAATGGTCAGCACGCTCAGGGCGTATTCAAAAGGTCCGAGGTTCGAGTCCCGGGGAGGGCATTGCCCATTTTTCATTGCATCTAAATAACCTAATGACTCTACAGTACTATTAAAAAATAACCAAGTTTCCGATTCCTACATATTTATTTTTAATACATTGTCAGCTTTTATATCTACCTTCTTATTTTAAAATTTCAAAAAATAGACTCCCTCGTTTGAGTTTCAAATTAACCACTTAAAATCCTCATTTACCAATTTCAAACCATAATTTAACGAACTTTTGTAATGTCTTTTTAACAAAAAATTTAAAAAACACCTAATAAATAGTTATTATTTTTTTTTTTATATTTAATTGATAGTTATTGTTATTTGAAATCACATATATCTAATGGTCAGTTAAATATACATTAATTAAATGTAAATTAAATATGAAATATGGTATTCTGTAAAATTATGTAATTTCAAAGAAATTGTTGCTCTAAGATATAAATTAAAATAACTGAATAAATCGTTTAGATATTAATTAGTAACTATAATGTTTTAATACCACTCTGCTGGCATGTTGGTAGACAAACCTTATTCCCGGGTTCAAACTCCAGAAAAGTCATGAATGCTGGCAAGTGTTTAGTGTCTTTCCGGCATAGGGCACTTAAAATACTGTAGAGCCAAGAATTCTGTCGAGAGGTTGATGTAAGGGAAAGAGGGTTTCTCCTTTGAAACTTAAATGGAGCTGGAAAACTCGTACATTCACCTATAATTTGCCCAGCAACATGACGAAATCTTCCCGTTCTTGTCCATAGTAAAATTCATGATTTTGATCTCATGTTACTGTTAGACAAGTGAGATAATTCACAACAACACAAACTTTAACTAATAGCAAATTCACATATTTAAATAGTTTTCTGTAAGATTCTTGCCTAGTTTCCAATGCTGTCACATAACTATGTTTTTTCTCCGATATAATTTCATATTTTAAATTTAATATTTTTATTCCATACTTAATATTATTTTTAATAATATTTATAAAGCATGTGAATGTAATTGATCATTTTGAATTAGCATTTTCTTAACTAAACTCACTGTCTCAAAGAATGTTAGTAAGCTTAACACACATAGAACTAGACACAATAACAAAAGTCAATTAGGATAATTTTTAACGGAATATATCAGTCTCCAGGTAAGAACGTCGACATTACATGTTCTTCAGCGTAATTCTAGAGTGTTGCTATGTGTCTTTACGTTTTAGTATGCATTCGATAATAAATCTTAGAAGTGAGGATCCTGGGAGCAGGATTCGAAGAAAACTGCAGTAATGGTGATTTTTCACAATGAGTTCTTTCTAATTCTGCAACTTCTTCGTATTTAAAAGATCTTAGTGGTGGCCAACAGAGAAATTAATACGCTAAATAATGCGTGAATTTTTTTGTGATATTACTTATACTTGTCTCCCTGAAAATATTTTGACCCTATTTAAATCATTTACTTTTTCTTAATTTACTATTTAACTAGAAAGAAATAAGCAATGATAGATATTACTTTTCTTTATTGCCCTTACAGTGGCAATATCTACCACTTTTCTGGATTCCTCTGTAAACTTTGAAGTAAATTTGGTAAATATAGCTATTTACAGAAATTCGACCCCTGGATTCCTACTACGTATGGAGCTCTAGACATGGGAGGAGCTTCGATGCAGATAGCGTATGCTTTGCCAGAACAAAATAAGACGAAAGTGAAAAGCCTGCAACTGTACGGGCAGACGCACAATGTGTTTTCTCAGAGTAATTTGTGTTTTGGTAGAGATGAAGCAGCGAGACGGTATAAATTCCTACTGTTGAAGGTAAGATTAAAATCTTACAGGTAACACATTTCTATACTGCAAGCATTGATTGTATATGTTTGAAATGATTAAAATTCTGCTAATACCCGTTTTTCACGAATTCTTCAGCAAAAAGAATTGAATTCCGTTGAGCATTTAGTTAGAAACCTGACCCTACGTAATACTGAGTTGCAACTCTCTGATCAGCATATTCGCGAATAAGTTTAAAGAATATTTTAAACTTTGGGTAAATCATATAGGAATATCACTGAATGACACTAAAGGAGGGGAAATCAACCTTGAATTAATTTTATTTATTTATTAACCAGCTGCTAAAGGCAAGCTAAAAAATGAAAAAAATCATACATTTTGAAAATAAATATCTCGATTAATTTTTGTATGGGCATCAGACATTTTGTGTTTTATGTTTTAGAGTGAGTGTAAACTCCTACCAGCTAGACAGGGACCGAAGAAACCCTATAAAAAGTTATTCATAGTTTTAATAAAACTGATTTTGTTTAATTTAAAAAGGGCTTAAACATGAATATTTGCGTCTTTTTAAACACTTTTGTAAGCAGAAGTGTATGTTTGTGACGAACGTTTGCTAAAATAAAGGCCGCTCAAAAACGTTTGGACACAGTTTGTATAAATCTAGTTCGATTTTCTTTTCTGTATGAGTAAAAGTCAAAGACAATTGTGCACTTTAATTAGTACAAAATTTCTAAAACTTCAAAATCATTTTTTTAAAGATTTTAGTCTGAAACTTTAAAATTAGTTAATTGATACAAGAAATGTTAACTCGATAACTCCATTGCTCTCGCGTCGAATAAGAGATACGTAGCGCAGTTACTTCTTCTTATTATTATTATTATCATTATTTTGTAAAAATTTTAAGGAATAGATAATTTATTTTCCTTCTTTAGAATAAATAGATTATTTTGTTTGTATTATAATAGCGGGAACATTATTTTGAGGATGTAAGAGCATTTTTCTTTGGCTGACCTATAATGTTTGTACATTTGCTCACAAAATTTGTGCACGCTTTTGTTCTTGGTTGTCTAACAGGTATTGAAATCTTTTATCGTAGATAATTGTACGCGCTCTTTTCTCTGGCTTTATGCAGAAGTATAGCTTCCAATCATGTTTTCTGTAACTGTTTGCGGAGAGTACTCTTATAGTACTTTAAAACTACTCCTCATTATTTTACCTCACTATGCTCTTGTAAACGTCAGCCAGGCACTTTTCTCATAATTAGGGACGAGAACAATACTTCAGTTAACACGGACGAAAAACAGGAGTAAATGTGCCATAGAATTATCAATTTTCTTTCTTTGCAGGTTCAAAGTAAAGCTATTCTTTATGATCCTTGCTCACCAAAAGGATATAATCAAACTGTTCAGGGATCATTTTTTACAGAACCATGTACGCATTCTGCCATGAAGATAGAAGGCTTAAAAGAGGTTGGTAAACAAAACTTCCCACATACTGGTTTATAATTGCAAAGTAATATGAAAATGTATACAATAGAAATTGAGGGAATATTCAGTGATCCATTTGTCTGTTTATTACAATAAGCAGAAATATTTAACCTTCTATTGTAAATAACAGAGGCATTTAGCCTTCAACTTTTATATGAAATCATTTGTACAGTAAGACCCAGCTTAACGCCGTTTCGTTTAGCGCTGTTTCGGTTTAGCGCTCTTTTATTTCAACCCGGGGATTCTCCGAAATTGTGCGCAGCGCTAGGTTTCCAAATAACATATCCGAAACAGTGTAGTTGTGTTTCTTGCTTTGTGGACGCATTTTTATCATTTGAAACATTTGTTGACATTATTGTAAGTTTAAATTTGCATAATACTATAAGGATTAATACAGTGACAAATATTATGATCTTTAGTTTTTATCATGGGTGATAATAAAAAACAAGAAAAGAAAGCAACCAGAAAAAGCATTTCACTGGAAACTCAAATGCAAGTGATTAGAAGATTAGATTCTGGTGAACGTCAATCTCAAATTAGCGCTGCATTGATTTTGGCAACTTCAACAATAAGGACAATTCTTAAGAATAAAGAAAAAATACTGTCATCGGCAACTGCAACTACGTCAAGCTCTGCAACTAGAATTACCCGTTCTAGAAATAACATTATAGAGGAAATGGAAAAACGACCGTCTATATGGATTGACGACGAAATTGAACGCAATATGCCATTAAGCCAATCTATCATAATGCCTTCTTGACAAAAAGGCAGAAAATTGGAAACCCAGAATAGGCTGAATGATCTGATTGAGAATTTTATTTGTTTTTAAAAGTATATGTGTTTATATTGTTTTTTTTTTATTTTTGTAAGAATAAATGTTTGATTTTATTTTATTAAAAAAAACATTATTAAATTTAATGACTAACCATTTTTTATCCGTCTTCCCCTAACCCCATTATTTGCATGTTAAGATAGCCTCACTTAGCGCTGTTTCGCATTACGCTCTACTTCGATGGAACGTATCCCCCGCGTTAAGCGGGGTCTTACTGTACTATATTTTCAAGATTCGATTAACAATTCATTTTGCCATAAATGCTTAATTTCTGGCGAAGTAAAATGTTACAAGTTCTTCAAGCTTTTAATCCGTCTTAAATAATTACAGCAATTTGAACATTTTAATTTTAGAAAACTTCTTTATACTTAATTCTTTCCTTCGCGAAGATACTGTATCTACTGTAAATTTAAACATAGATTTGGATCTTTAATATATGTAACATTGATTGCATATTTCTGACAGAAATGAAAACTTGTTTAAAGGCTCATCTTTTTTAAGTTATTCTTAATATCTTCCAGTTACGTTTTTTGTTATCGTCCGGTACTGTTTACGGACTGTATTAGAGATGTCTGTCATAGACATGAAGACCACACTGACCTAAGATTGTGAGGTATCAAATATAGAGCAACATATAATGTAAATAAATTATCAGAAGCGAATATGATGGGTTTTAAACAAATTTCTATATGTTTCTAAAAGAAGTTTTAGTATTCTACTTGGAAATATTGAAAATTATCAAACAAAATCAGCTAAATAAATGAGCAAAACGCTCACTGATTTAAATATATAACGCTAAGGATTTTTTCGAATTGTTTTACTTAGTATTTATGACTGTTAACCACTATCAATCTTTAAGCTCCACAGTCATTAATTCGCTTAATAGAAATGCATTAGGCTAAAGTGTAACTTTTATAATAATAATCCCACTGAGCACAGAAACCAAAGCTTAGTGCACAGCTGAATAAACTTGTGCACCAGTTCATATCATGGAACATGGATCTTGTATATTTATACCGCCACTCAATAATACAGCAGAGGGCTTAATGACGGGGTTAGAGGAAGCAGGAACTTTATGAAAGTGTCATTAGTTATTTCATTTAGCACTTTCTCTATGTGGGCAATGAGGTCATTCTGAATGAATTACGATTTTATTTCTCAGTAACAATAATAATACCAACGTTTTTCTTATGCTGATGGCACTTTTCGGAGACAAATTAGTATCTAACTAAATACTTTTTAGATCACTATTAGCTGTATAGAGGAGTGGAAACAAATGTTTTCGTGTAATCATGGTTTAACAAATGGTTTATATTAAAATAAGAAGTATTTAAAAGTAATAAATAATATACAAACATAGAAGAATGAAAGTGTTAATGTACTGATAAATGACTGGCCCTCACAGTTAATATAAACAGAGTTCACTAAGAAAAGAGAAAAAAGGTAACTGAAAGGCAAATTTTCGGCGAAAAGACCGAGAACTTTATATGGCAAATTAAGAAATTTATACCGCAAGGTGCAACTCTAATTAATTTTTGCATATAGTTGCATATAGTTGTGTATACCATAGGTATGACTTCTTGGGTATTAATAAAACTAAAATCTACATCTCGGACTGTTTAAACTAATTAGTCCTAAAATATGTAAGCAATTAATAAAATGTAGTCATGCATATCTTATTAAATTTTAAATCAATTTTTGTTTACTAAAGACCTTTAAGACAATGCGAGCAAACTTACTGCAGCAATTCTTTGCATTTTCTTATTGATTTAAATAAATGAGAACATAAGTAATATATAATGTTTAAGAATGGCAATTAAATAATCTCGCGTCATAAGAAATTCAAATATTTAAAATAGGATGCTTATCAATCCATAAATGAGAAGCAGGATTTAATTGGACGGTGGCTACTCAAATTTTACTTCACGCAGCATCATTTTTTTTAAAGTACAATTATATAAAAATTTAGACTGAGACAAATTTTACTTATTCCTGTGAATTGTGCTTTCTTTCTCATCAAAGGCATATTTTAGATTAGGTAAAATAGGAAAGCTTTAAATTTCCTTAAAGTCTTGGCTTTGGTACCAGGCTGAAAAAAAAAAAAAAAAAAAAAAAAAAAAATTGCTTGTTTTGATAAATTACAGCAAAGCAGGTAAGAGTTGTTTTTTGATATTGAAATGCCTTCGGGGAAGACTTTCCAAGAACAACTGGCTCGTATTTACTTAAGGAAATTTCTGAAATTCCCATGCATTTGTTCTGGAGTTTTTACTTGTATCGTACAACAAGCGATTTTATCAGTGGTGGGCTCAGAGTAAATTTTGACTGACGATTTTTAATTGTTTCAAGGTATGTGAAAAAGAGGAAATGAATATATCTGGAAGTTATAATTATTATATCTTCGTTTTATTGCATATCAGTTTAACATCAAATCCAGCATTCTCCCTTCTCAGCTGACAAATTTTGAAAGCGCTTTCCATTAAGGTCAATAAAAATATAATATATCCTCATTTATCCAAAATGATGAGAAATGCTGATTGCACCCCTGAACCCTTTCCGGCGCAGTGTGTTCGGTGTGAACACACCAAAAATATTCCCTCTTTAGACACTGAAAATAATTAATAAATATCACGAAAACTATACTAATGGTTACTTTTTATCTCTTTTGTGAGTAATAGATGGCAGCACGACACAAGCAAATAATTAACATTGAGATATATTCTGTTTAAAAACACTGATTTTTCAAAGAAATGTTTCAGATTTTTTTTAAATATAAAGAATATCAATGAAAAAAACTTTATATAATTTTGTTGTTCGTGTGCTAATCTGCCTGTTATGTATTACTTTTAATTTTTATCTTTAAAATATTGCGTATAGTGAAGCCTTCAGTGTATGGTATGTTCGGACTGAACACACTGTACTGGTAGCGCCTGTCACGTGGGAGTGAGTCACAGAATCTGGACTCGTGCTTCAAACACGGGGAGGCTGAGAGCACAGATTTATTTATATTTGTTTTTATTCTTTTCAGTTTTGGGTTTTGTAGACCCCGGTACTTTGTTTTCACTTAGCTATTTGATTTTCAGCGAGAGCAGACCCTATTTTTCTTTTGCTTTCATCGTGCGTAGTTTGCTTAGTTTTGATTTCTGTAGATTTTTATTTGTATATATATTGCATTTTATTTGTATATATATCGCAAATATTATAGTATTTTAATTAGTTTTCCTATAAATTTTAAAATTGTGTAAATGGCTCGGAGAGGCCTCAGCATAGCGGAAGAAATGAGAGCTTTCTTTTCCCCCGTTTTTTGGGGGGGATGTAGAGTAGCAGCTCTCCCCGTGGGGCACCCTGGGTTATGTTAAATCTGCTACAGAGATCAGATTCTACTGGTTTTTAAATCATAGACAAAGTATTTTACTGTAATACGTGCTTCACAGCAATGCTCACCTATCGCAGCTCGTGTGGCTTAGGTTCGCTTCGGACACACCCTCAAAGGAAACGGTTTGTGCAATCTTTGTAAAATTATACTTGAGTGCATTTGTAAAATTATACCTGCATACATACTCCTAGGCCTAAATAGACTGCCTACAAATTTTTTTGGTAAAATTCCAACTTTAATGAGTAGCGTGCCGGAGAGGATTAACCTCTTCGTCGTTCGTAAGGCGTCTAGCGCTTTCAACTTCCGCAGGGCGGCCGTAATGCGCTACAAGCGTTCTTCTACATTTTAAAACTTTAAAACGCTTTCTAAATGTTTACTTGTTTTAGTTTTTATTTTTGTTTGTTTTAATACTTCCTAGAGGACAGCACTAATCAGGCATTCTATTTCTAATTGAATTTGCCCCGGGTTTTATGAATATTTGCGCCATTTTACATAAGATACAAGACGGTGAGAGATGGCTTCAACGTATACTCAGCAGAAAAAGAGAAAAAATGAGGTTGTGAATTGGAAAGACAAGAAGGATATACGTTTGATGAGTACAATCCATAATAACTCGATGATTGATGTTGGAACACGGAAAAGAATAAAAAAAACCAATAATTGTAAAAGATTACAACAACAAAATGGGAGGAGTGGACCGCCTGGATCAGATGTTATCAAATTATCTTGCTGTTAGAAATAAGCAGAGATATTATTTTTTACATTATGCTTTATTTCCTTATAATTTTACTTAATATTCATCCACTACGAAAGTCATGAATGGAAAGTTATGATGTACAGAGTGAACAACATTACGCGCTACGAAACATAGACGGCCGCTAGGGGGGCGCGATTTTCGTAGACAGGAGAGGATGGCGAAAGGGTTAAAGTGCCTGTTGAACACTGGTAGTTCGGATCAGTCCCGATCTCGCAGAACTGCTGTTCCCATGGAGTTTTCGGGGTTTTCCCGATACGTTACGTAAATGCAAGCCAATTTCATTCAAAAATTCTTCCAAGCAGGCATCCCATTTAATAGGTAGCCCTCACACGTATTCTGCTTTAAATAATTAACTTAATCTAACTCATCCTAACTGATGAAAGCAAAACTATTTCTAAATAAACCATGGAACAGTTTTTGACATTTAAGAGATGAAAATTTTCGTATACATCATTCAATAAATGCTTAATAATGTATGTACATTTTGATATTAATGGAAATAATAAATTATCTCCTTTTGAATACTCTCCACTCAACGCTTACAGTCAGCTACGTCGTATTGCCATATGATAAGCAGATAAGCTAGTGCAGATTCAGCACCTTTTGAGTCTCTCCTTGGTGTATAATCAGTGTCTTTCAACCTATATCTCAAGCTGATATAATAATGTTTCTCTTTTGAATAGAGAGGGATTGAGATTATTCAATTATGGCAAAGCACGCGAGGGCTATCTGCCTGAAGGAAGGGATGCCTTCGTGGAGGACTTTCTAAGGGAAACTGGCTCGTATACACGTTACACATGGGGAAAACCACGAAAACGCCCATGCAGCCAGCCCGTTCGCGGGATTCGAACCTCGGACCGAACTACCAGTGTTCAGCGTCTTTACTGCTCGGCCGCTGGTGAGCCTTTGAATAGAGAGATAATTAAAAAAGTATAACAGTATATTTTTCGCTTCAAAGGCGCTCCTTTTTGCTTATGTAAGAGTCGCCATAAACAGCATACGTCTTAGAACTGCGGCTTTTCTCAAACTGCTAATTATTTCGAAGCAATATTTTTTTCTAAATTACTAATTCAAATAGAAATATTATTGTTTTATTTTTCATACAGGAATATTGTTATTTGTTACTATTTATAATTAAATACTTTGATGTTTCACTTCGCAACCTATTTTCAAAATAATATTTTGCTGGCTGAATTTTAGCACTATCTTTCTTTTTTAAGAATCATGGGTATTTTTCCCTTTGCTAATATAGTATATTAAAACACATAGAATCAATAGGTCATGTAATCAAAGAAATAGGTGTTAACAATTGCATGTAATATTCTCATGATTCTTATAAAGGTTATTTTAGCTTTTTGATCCATACTTTAGTTTGTGTTCCTGAAAGTATTCTTATGACGCGAGGTATGGCGATATTAGTCGCGATTCTAATTGAGCTAGTCTATTTTAATGATGCTGTCATTCAGAATAATTAGCAACATGTGATGTAAACAGAAATGTTGTCTATTTACATAGACATGTTATCATTTACTATGACTGGATCTTTGGACCTATTTCCGCCCTCTTTCTTTTCGTAGTGTGATCTAAATGTTGCGAATAAGAGGAAATACCGCTGTGCTGATGAATTGGAAAACATAATTCGTAAAAATGTGCTGTTAATGAAGCTGAATTAGTTGTATATCGTAAAATCTTAAATTGAGTGTGGTTGCCAGGGACGTGAATGTCTCACACGAGATGGGCAACGAACATCGCAGAATGTGTTTGATTACTACGTGCTCATGATTTTCTTCACGAAACCTGGGCAGTGCGCAAAATACGAGTATTTGACTACACTTCTATCAGACCCGTATTTTCAAAACCAGTGCTTATTTAAAAGTTTTATTTAATTGATCAAAAAGAAAGAAATAATAGCATCACTTCCACTGAAATAATGTCAATTAACTTGCTACTTTTTCTTCGGCGAGAAATATATAAGAAAACATCAGGTAACGTAACAAATGATTTAAAATAAGTACATTATCCTACAAAATATTTAAGTGAAGTACAGCTACATATTTTAAACTTTAACTACAATTTCAGGATACAAATTATACTTTTGTTGGAACAAGTGAATATAGCTACTGTCAGGGTAATGTGTCGAAGCTTTTGGATGATGATGAGTGCAAAACTATGAAATTCAAGGAATGTTTTAAGAAACTCAGTGGTCTTCCTGGTGATCAAAAGTACTTGGTAAGCATTTTTGCATATGTACGTTGAGAGATGATATGATTATGTAAATTATTACTGTGAAAATTCGAATTACGAATAATAAAATTAATCAATATTTTATACGTAAATCATTTTTATAATTTAGTTCTGCTTCTTGGTTTTACATTTAAAACAAATATAGTAAATAGATGCAAACTGATTTGGCATTCAAACATAACCCTGAAGTGAATTTTAAAAGTAAGCAGCAGAATTTTCAACTGTGATAAAATCGATTGACTGTAAAAATTGGAAATTTGCTCTGTTGCTTTCGTATCTCCTGTGGGATTTGGAGTTCTTTTTCTATCTGCTATTTGCATAAACTTTGCCACATATTCTTTAACCACTATGTTTGTGGTCGTTTATTTCCTCAACCTATTTTGAAAATAATATTTTCCTAGCTGTATTTTAGCACTTCTTTTAAGAATCTGGGTTCATTTTCAGTTTAAAATATGCGCCTTAGAACCAATAGATCTTGTAATCGAAGAAATAAAGTAAATTTGAATATAATTTTTATTTCTCATTGTTCTTACACGGGTTATTTTAACTTTTTCCCCATATCTTAGTCTGTATTCCTGAAAGTATTCTTATGATACGTGATATGGCCGTATTGATCGAGACTATATTTGAGCTAATGTATTTTGATGATGCTGTCAATCAGAATAATTAGCAATTTGTGATATAAGACAGAAATATCTCTTATTGAGGCAAGATTGCCTTTTCCGTAATTCTGGTTTCTCTATAATAACTTACACATTGTACCTCAATAGTGCTCCAAGTTACCGATATTTTAAACTTTTCTTGTTAACCGTTTGAGTGCTGAAGAATTTTCTTGTATACATGCTAAAAGTGGGAAAGAAAATGCGTAGTTATTTGTTTTTGGAACGGTTTTAATTAACTCTAATTATTATATAAAAAGTAATTTTTACCAACAAAAAATATTATTTTTTCTCACTTATTACAAAAATGTTTTGCTGCACAAATTACATGCATTACTTTTTTTACATATAGCGTAAATTAAGTTGGATTGTGTAGTTCTATTACTTTTTTTTTTTACTTCATACGTCACATTGTCTAAAGTTTCGCCCAGGCAATTTTTAAATTTTGTTGAGGCTGTTTCGTTGTACGGCAGACTTCGACGCAAATTACGTGTTAATGATATAGCAGTACTATGTATGAAGAACAATAATTCATACCTAACACTGGCGTATCAAAATCAAAAACTGGATATTCTGTCCATATTCTTTTGACAGTGTTAGAGCACGTTGTAAAGACAAAAGAAGTATGAAATACAACATGTGAAAATAATCATTTAATTTAAACGGTGACCCACTAGAGTGAGCCATTATAGTAGCGCATCATGCCTAAGAGATTAAGTCTTATTTAAAACCACAACTGAAGATACTAATGGAAACTGCAATTGATATGAATACTACATAATTTCTGTTACAACAGTAGTTTATTCTTGTTGCTTTTTATAATTATTTTTATTGAGTTTGATCCATTCAGAATGTGTAGTTCACACTACAACGTATTCCATTCGTTGAGCTAAATACTGTAGCTTTTTTCTGGTCCTCGAACTGACGCGAATTAATGCTTGACTTGAACTCAAATTGGCAGTCTTTTTAGGATTCACTATCTACGTAATTCAACGTTTATTCTTTTTTCGAATTATTCTTTTTTACTTCTACACTTTTTTTTTTTTTTGTTACAACAGAAGATTTTCTAATTACTTTTATAGAGTTTAATCAGTTTAAATTTCGTAATTTATCTAAATTCATTACATAAGACATTTTAGGCTTTGCTACTATACAGGCGTATGCATAATTTTTCATTTACAGAGTTTGTTGCTGTTGTGCTACTCATCTATTTTTATTTTTAGATCAAATTTTCATTTATTTCTCTTATTTTTGTATGTGTTGGGTTACTTTTGTTTTACATGTTTTTGGATTCAGTCCACTCATAGTAAAAAAAATTTTGCTAGATTTTTAAGGTTTTTTTTTTTTTTTTTTTTTTTTTTTTTTTTTTTTTTTTTAATTTACACTATTATTTTTAAACCTAGCCTGTATTATTTTTAAATCTGCATGTAGTTTTTGTTATTTCCACCTTTGGATTAAATAAAGAAACTGCATATCATTCTGTTTTTTAAGTAGTGGTTTATTATTTTTGCACATTGTTTTTTAGACTCTATCGACTGAAAATATTTTTTTAGTTTCTCTATTATTCCGCAAATTTTTGAATTTGTCGGCACTGCTTACTTCGGCCTTCATCCCCAGGATTAACGCAGAGAACTCTGTGAAGTACTGGCTAGGATCTGTACTTAGACAGTCTCGGCCACGGGGCCACATAATCATTGAATTTGGCGGTTTCACCTTCCTCAGCGGCTCCACTGAGGTGGGTCGGCGTCAGTCTAGGAACCACTGGTTCTGTAGCTCGGTGTGGGACGCCACCGAGTTTGCTAGGTAATGCCCTTTGATGATCAGCAGCCCGCGTAGTTCTGGCAGGTAGCAAGTTAGATGGCCAGTCATATACCCAGTTCAATATTTTTCTGGACATTGGCCAAACCTGAGACCTGGGAGTGGTCACCCCGCGCGCCCAGGCGTAACCATGGTTAATGAGGTAACCTTTAAAAAGTCTGCCACCTCGGATTAGGGCCTCGGGGTGGTAGCAATGAGAACCACCATCCTCTAGGGGAAATTTTTGACTGAGATCCTGCCCCCTGCCTAACATGGAGGTCTCCAGCTGGGTCCAGTCCATGTAGTAACATTCGGTAGGCGAAGCACGTTAAAATCAATGTTATGTTACTTCGATACTTTTAAGTTTTATATTTTAAACTTTAATTTGTAGCTTTGTCTGTTCATAAACAGGTTATTTTATTTATTTATCTTTTACGTTGCATCAAACCCCTGCTGACGATGACGCAGCGAAATTGGATTACGCAATTGGATTAATTTTTGAACTCCTTTTTATTTTATTCATTTATATATATATATATATGTATGTTTGTATATATATATATATATATATATTGTTACTTTTTCTTTCTCCTGACACCAGTTGTTACGTTATTTTCTTCCTTCACGTTCGTACGGTGTTCATAGATTTGGAGTGAATAATGACGACACTTGATGAAGTATCGAAACACACTTTATTGGCCAGTATTGTCAGGACAGCTCCAAAACACGTTTTTGCAGTCGTCGATGAACTACTATAAACACGCTGACACGATCAGCGACACAGCCTCCAGGTTATCAGGCTATCACAGTGGAGACGGCTTCACGGCAAAGCACTAGAGTACAGCTCGCGACTCTGCTTGGTCGTTCTCGGAACTCCACGTAGTCTCGAGACTCTCCACGCTACAACTCGCGATGCACTTGAGGACACTCAAAGCACAGCTCCCAACTCTTCGGTTCAGTCGTTCCCGGAGCTCAACACGCTCTCTCGACGATGCACTAACCACGATACACTAACAGACTCCTTCAGTGAACTCGACGACCCACTCGGCACTCGCTGCCCGGTTGTTAACTCGATCGACTCCGCAGGGATTGACTTGCTAGACGAGACACCAACTTGATACTAACTCGCACTCCAGACGAGGCACTCTGACTCGCTCTCTCGATGAAGCACACACTCGATATTAACTGCGGACCAGCAGGGTTTATATAGCTTTCGGCTTGTGTTCGAGAACATTCTGGGCTAAACCGGTAAGAATTGGTTCCAGAAGGTTCTCCCTCCGTCCATGGTATATCGCCAAATGTGGCAATCCTGCCTTCCTTTGCCATTTTTATGGCAACCCTAAAACTGCTTTGTGGGGAAGCTATCTCATCGCGCCTGTACATCTCGTAACACTGCACGCTCCGGACAGTACAACCCTTGGTCAGAAGCCAAATTCGATACAAACAAAACGTTTTAAAACATACAAATAACATAACTAAAGAAACAAACATTTACACTACATACAAACTTTACACAGAAACAAGGTAAAAAAAACTCATGCACAAGAATTATGGGTACCCAGGATTGCAAAGCATTATAAAAATTAAATACAAAAAAACAGTTACATATAGTGAAATAAATGTAAAGAATATGAACTACCATATTTATTTATTACGTGCTTCGCCAGTATGTACCACACGGAATGAGAAGCACTAAGTACTATTGCCATAGTATGGGGCTAATCTGTCATAATGAACGACCTTGGGTTTTGAATTGGGGGATTTACGGATCCGTATCACAACGTCGTTCAATCTGTTGAGGACCGTATAGGGACCCTCCCAATGCGACTGCAGTTTGGGACAAACGCCCTTACGAAGACTTGGATTCCACAGCCAAATCATGTCGTTTTCCTGGAATTGATGTTCGGTGGCTCTTGCGTGGTATCTCTTCTTCATCCTGTCCGTCGAGATGTTGATCCGCTCTCGAGCAAACCTGTGTTCTGTTTCCAACCGGGCCTGGAGGTCTTGCACCTACTCCTCAGGCGAAGAATGTACATCCGGAGGGCGGCCGAAGGGCAGGTCACTTGGCAGACGGAGATCGCGACCGGAGAGCATCTGTGATGGAGAATAGCCGGGCTTTCGTGGACGGCACTGTGGTAAGCAAGCAGGAACAGGGGTAGCTTGCGATCCCAGTATTCTTAGTTTTGGGAAACCATGAGCGAGAGGTGGTTCAGGATTGTACGGTTAAACCTCTCCACCATGCCATCAGACTGCGGATGTAACGCGGTCGTCTGCGTTTTCTTGATTTCCAACAAGTCGCAGAGTTCCTTGAACACAGCCGAAGTGAAGTGCCTGCCTTGGTCGGAATGAATCTAGAGGGGGTCCCAAATCTGGACACCCAATTCTGTAACAGAACTTTAGTTGTCGTGACAGCCTCTTAATCTGGAACTGGGTACGCTTCGGGCCACTTCGTAAAGTAATCCATGACAACGAGGATGTATTTGTTGCCATCCGTGGTCCGAGAAAAAGGTCCAAGTATGTCGAGGGCAA